ATGAATGAATTGGGCATGCAATTAAAAAAGCTAGAAAAAACAAATTAACCCCAAATTAAATACCAAATTAGAAATTCTGAAAACCAAAAGAGAAATTAAGAAAATTGAAATTAAGAAAACTATTGAACAAATAAATAAAACTAAGAGCTGGTAACAATAAAATAGATAAACCTTTGGTAAATTTGATTTTAAAAAAAGAAAAGAAAACCAAATTACCAGCATCAAAAATGAAAAAGATGAATTCACCACCAATGAAGAGGAAATGAAGATGAGGAGGAAATCAATGAAGAGGAAATCAAAACAATAATTAGGAGCTATCTGCCCAATTGTATGCCAATAAATTTGACAATCTTAGTGAAATGGATGAATATTTACAAAAATATAAATTGCCCAAATTAACAGAAGAGGAAATAAAAACTTGATCCCATTTCGGAAAAAGAAAATGAACAAACCATCAGTGAATTCCCTAAGAAAAACTCTCCAGGGCCAGATGGATTTACAAGTGAATTCCATGAATCGTTTAAAGAACAATTAATTCCAATACTACATAAACTATTTTGGAAAATAGATGAAGAAGGAGTCTTAGCAAATTCTTTTTATGGTGCTGATGCCTAAACCAGGAAGAAACTTAAAGGAATGTAAGCACACTTTAGTTGTCAGAAGCTTTTCTCTAGGGAGTTAGGGATATGATTATCAAAATAATAAAAATTTTGAATAATGCATAAAGTCTGGGGCAGATGCCTGGGAGCATTGCACTAGAGAGGTCTCTATTAATAAACCATTTATCTATTCCTAATTGTACTGTTATCTAGGCCAAATCTCTCTGTATTATCCACAAGGATAGCATGAGAGTTTGTGAAGGAATGTAGTATGAAATAAGTCCATAAATGTAGGTAGGAGCCAGACTGACAAGTGCTCTAAATGTAAGGCTATGTATAAGAGTCCCTGAAGGCTTTTGAATAGAGGGGTGCCGTAATCAGATCTGTGTTTTAGGATTATCATTTTGACAGCTGTATGAAAGAAGGTTTGGAAAGGGAAGAGACTTGAAGCTGAGAGAATCTATTTAGGAGGTTATTAAAATTGTCCAGGTGAGAGACGATGAGGGCCTGAGCTAGGGTGGTTGTTTGTGAGAGAGGGGCATGAATTAAAGAGATATTGTGGAAGTAAGATCAACAAGTCTTGGCAACTGATTAACTTAAAGGGGTAGAAGAGAGAAAAGAGTTGAGGATGACTGTGAAGCCAAGCTTACTGGAAAGAAGGTGATGTCCTTAAAAAAAAAGTAGGGAAGTGAAGAGAAGGGATGGGTTTTAGGGGAAGACGATCCATTTTGGGTATGTTGAGTTTTTAGTACCTTCATGTCCAGCTGGTATTTAAAAATACAGGACTGGATTTTGTGAGATGGGTTAGATCTGGATATATAGATTTGGGAGTTATCTGCATAGAGATGATAATTTAGTCCATGGGAGCTGATGAGATCAGTTAAAAAGCAAGACTGTTGGATAGAAATTTGAGTTTAATTCAGGAAACATTTATCAAGCACCTTGGATACAAAAACAAAACAATTCCTTTACCTTAAGGAACTTTCGTTCTATAACATTAGCTAAGCCTTGAAAAAGCAAGCCAGGTTTCCTTTTTTTAAAAGAGTGGATACCTAGGGAGGTGGTGGGATCCTCCTCAGTGAAGGTCTTCTATAACAGACACTGAATGATCACCTTGTTGAGTATAATACAGAAGAGATCTCATCATTAATCACTAGTCCCTTGGTGCTTTGCGAGCTCTAGCATTACAGACCTCCTTCGTAAAGAACCAAGTTACTGAATTTGATCAGTGAGTTCTCTGTGCAGCCACAGATCTCTTTAGGCAGCTTCACTATTTTCTCCCCTCCTTGGAATAATTTTTCCTTACACATTTAAAGGATTTCATTCTCAAGAGCTTCCCATTCATCGTGGGCCAATGTACTTTGTAACGTGCTTGATCATTGGATTCTACTTATCTCTCCTCTGAACCCTTTGAAATAAACTCACCTAAAGTCTAGAGGAAATAACTGTAGACAGTATAAAATACTTGGAAGTCTACTCTTGACCAAAGACAAGATAGCATTTATGGGACATAAAATGAATAATTTTGATTACATTAAATTTAAAAGTTTTTGCATAAACCAAACTAGTGCTTCCAAGATTGAAAGGAAAGCAGGAAACCAAGAACAAAATTTTACTGCAAGTTTCTCCAATGAAGGCCTCATTTCTCAGATATATAGAGAACTGAGTCATTCCAGTTGATCAATTCCAGTTGATAAATGGTCAGAGGATATGAACAGGTAGTTTTCAGAAGAGGAAATCAAATTATTGATAGGCACATGAAAAAATGCACTAAATCACTGTTGATCAGAGAAATGCAAATTAAAACAACTCTGAGGTACTGTCTCATCCCTATCAGGTTGGTTAATATGATGCAGAAAAGGAAAATGACAAATGTTGGGAACATGGGACAATTGGGATGGTACAGTACTAGTGGTGGAGTTGTGAACTAATTTAGCCATGCTGGAGAGCAATTTGAAACTATGCCCAAAGGGTGATAAAACTGCATATCCTTTGACCCAGCAATGCCACTACTAGATCTGTACCCCAAAGAGATCAAAGAAAAAGGAAAAGGACCTATTTGTACAAAAATATTTATAGCAGCTCTTTTTTGTGGTGGCAAAGAATTGGAAATTAAGGGGATGCCCATCCATTGGGGAATGGCTGAACAAGTTGTGGTATATGATTGTGATGTAAATACTGTTGTGCTATAAGAAATGATGAGCAGGATGCTCTCAGAAAAACCTGGGTAGACATAAGTAATAGAAGAGAGCAGACCCAGGAGAACATGATAGGCAATAAAAGCAATATTGTATGATGATCAGCTGTAAATGACTTAGCTATTCTTAGCAATATAGTGATCTGACATTCTGAAGGACAGGATGAAAAATGTTATGCACCTCCAGAGAACTAAGGGAATCTGAATGCAGATAGCCTATTTTTTTTCCACTTTCTTTTTTTTTTTTTCCCTTGGGGTCTGTGTTTTCTTTTGCAACATACACTATGGAAATATGTTTTGCATGACTGCACTTGTATAACCTGTATCAGATTATTGGCCTTCTCAAGGAGGGGGCAGGGGAAGGAGGGAGAGAATTTGGAACTCAGAATTTTAAAAAATGAAATGTTAAAAAGAATTTTTTACATGTAATTGAAAAAACCTAAAGTAAGAGAAAAAGCAAAGACTAGAGAACGTGGCACATCATGTCCTTTCCTTCTCTTTTCTATCATGAATTCTAAGATAGAGAAGAAACTTGTCCCCAAGATTCCTGTCAGTTCCTCTTTAGCAACATGTAGTTCATTCTTGTCGATTGGAATCTAGTCTGAAATGGCATTTCCCTTTATAATTTCCATCCCAAATAAATCCATTTGTGGACTTATTTCATACTATATTCCTTCACAAACTCTTATGCTGTCTTGTGGATAGTACAGAGAGATATGGCCTAGATTAACAGTACAATTAAGAATAGATAAATGGTTATTAATGGAGACCTCTCTAGTGGAATGCTCCCAGGCATCTGTCCCAGACTTTATGCATTGTTCAAAATTTTTATTATTTTGATAGTCATATCCCTAACTCCCTAGAGAAAAGCTTCTGACAACTAAAGAATGAAGTTAACATTCAGAAAAGACATTAATTTATTACTTATGTTTTGAACAGAGAAAGAGCTCCAGCAAATATCAAAATAGTTGAGGTTTCCCCCTTCAAACCAGGTTAAGCATCTGGGCAGGTTTGTGATCACTTTCCTGGACTCCTTATATAATAATTCTTCCTCTACCTATTGACTATTACTTTTGTTTCTATCTTCATTGATTCAAATGCTTTTCCCCATGTTTTCCCCCTGCTTGATTCCTGGATTTCCTCCCATAAATGTATCTTCTTACTAAACAATGTATAGTGTTTGTTCCATTGCTTCTTTTTTCTGTCGTTTTTTTTCTTTTGAATAAGAGTCATATTACAGTCATGAATCTCATTCCACCAGCTCTCAGTGATTATACTTATAAGGTCCAGTTTGCATACTTGGGTTCTTTCCTACTCCTGCACAGTACCTAGCACAGATAGGGACTTAAATGCTTGTTGATTTATTGATACTTTGTGTTTTTGTGCATAGATATCTGAGGTCATGGATTTTATCATGTCTTTTTTTAGTTATTGTCTCAGGAATTAGTTTTTTAGTTTTAGCTTTATTTTCTGTGTTGTTGTACTTGCTATGCTCAGGGTTACCAGACTGTACAAATCTATATAGGCAGTTTCCTCCCCTTCCCTTTTCATTTTAAAGCTTTCTTGAATAAGTTAAAATTCCAGCCATCTCTCTTCAGTTTGCCTGGTGAATTTTACATGTGGGTTGTGTGATCCCCTTCTGCCCTCTTATCAGAGAGTGAGCAGTACCTCTAGCTTTTACTTTTACAATTTTACATTTCAATCTGAATTGGTCAGTGAGTTTCCTGCTCCTTCCTTTTAACTAACTATGCCATTGTACAAGTCTCTCTTTGAGTCTGGCTCCTGCTTTTTATGAGCATAAAAATACTTCCATTATCTCAATACCTTTTAAAATAGTTTGTGGAAATCAAATGAAGTAAAGTATATCTGACACTTTTTAAGTCATGAAGAACTATTTGAATGTGAGCAAGTGTTGTGATCATTAGGTACCATTTACCAGGTGACTTGGGCCTAGGTTGTGGTTATTAGGAAGGGCAATTAACTTTCAAATAGTCGATCATTGCCATTCTTCCATAACAATTTAAGGTTAAGGGAAGAGGGCAACCAGGTAGAAAAGGATAAAGCTTGCCTAGCAGAGGGGTGGCCAGGGAGAGGGAAGTGTAAGGGGAGGAAGAATTTATATCTCTTTATTTCTCCCTACAAGCCTAGGACTTTTTGTGCAGCTCGCTGAGGCCAGTGCTTTACTCTTAATCCTCCTCCCTCAGGACCTACACTGAGCTGCTTCCACTGGCCAAAAGGGGTACAAGTTTGTGCTCGCTTACGGCAGCTCTTGGAATGGGCACAGAGTATGGGCTTTGGGATGCTGGCAGAGCAGTTCTTCAAGAAACTTTCCTGCACAGTAAACCTGTTGGCTACTCCCAGTGCCCAGCTGATACAGGTAGGTACGGATGATCATATGGAGGCAAGTGGTAGAGGTAGAGTCACAAAGGTCATGTTGTCTGGTATCTGAGTTCATTTTGTTGTGGTTCTTAAAGGATTATTGTTGGTTGTTGGGTTTTTTTTTAAAGTGGTTGGATCATTGGCTTAGATTCCCTTGCCTAAAGAGGCTTCAAGACCTAAAACAGCTTTATAAGTAGTTACCATAGAAGTGTTTTCTTATTTTGCCTTCAGGGGTACTAATATGATTAATGTTTTCCTCAGTTTAATAGTAAAATGTTAACATAATCTGGAGAGGTGGGCAAGCTATTTGTGAAGACCATCCTCAACTAAGACCAAAACGCTGGATTATTTGGGAAAGATGACTTTACAAATCAAATAGGTTAGGCAGCTTTTCTCAGCTAATCACTAAATGAAAATTTTCTCTAGAAATGATGTGGGATTGCTCCTAAATGACTAGTTGAACATTCAGCACATTGAAAATAAGCCTTCAAAATAATTACCAAAAATTTACTAGACCATGTTTCTTCAAGAATCACACAGAAAATAGAACACATGAAACTAGTCTTTTCTATTTGTCCAGTGAAGGACGTTGTCTTAAACAATATATAGTGCTACATTGAATACTCCCTCTCCTCTCAGCTGCATTAGCTAGGGTGGTACCTTGAGAAACTAGTCTTCCATGTGAGTGTTATGGTCAACTGCTCACATCTAAGTCATTTGATCTGAGAACTTAACCCCTATCCCCAAGTATGCCCTGCAGATAAAAATCATGAGGTAACAGATGTAAATGCTGATGCACCCCATGTTGGTCTAATGCCCTGCTTCCCTCATACCATTTTGAGGCCTTGACTCCCAGAGCTTCCTCTTATCACTCAGATGAACTGGTCATCCCTGAGGACTCAGTTTCCAGAACTGAACCCTGCCCAGCTGCATCGGTTGTTGACTCAATACCAGCTTGCATCTGACATTGGTTCTGTGACTGCTTGGGAGCCTCTAGATGAAGACAGGCCCAAAGCCTTCAGAACAGGTGAGTTTCTGACCATATCTGTTTTTGATGACAAATGGAAAAGTATCCATGTGTCACCTTACAGAATTCTAGAGCAAGAGCTGCAAAGGAACTTAGAAATTATTTAGTTCAACCCTCTTGACTTGCCCAGGGTTCCACAGGTGATAAGTGGCAGAACCTTGAATTAAACACCAGTTCTGTGACTCTCTACGTTCAGCATTTGTGGAACTGCCTCAGGCTTTATCCACATTACTAAGGACAAGTCCTGTGCAGACTGAGTATTAAAAGACCTAGGTTTTAATGTGGACTTTTAACCAAGAACCATCTAAATCAGAATCAAATTCACCCAACTGTATTTTGATTCTCCTCTCTCTAAAATAGTAATGCTATAACTTCCCTTTCCTGTGGCAGGGAAGGAAGATACTGCGGATTTGAAGCTCCTCTAGAGGAGCTTCTTTAAAGCATCAGGCACATGATTAGAATTGTTTGGCCACTTCTTTGTTATGCGGAGGTAGCCTGTGCCCTCAAAGATTATGATAGAAGTATAAGTTCCAGCAGGTTATACCATGACAGAAGGGTTTTAAGAGGCTCATCCCAAGTAGTATAACCACTAGGTGATAAATTCTTTGGCCATGGAAAACCATGAAAGAAAGACTAATATAAAGTAACCCTCAGTGCTTTACTGTACTTTAGTTCCTTGGGCTTCCACATCAGTGAGTGATTGAATGAAATGATTCAGAGATGCATGTGTGACTGGGCAAAAGAAGACTGAAACTTAACCTTCATCAAGACTTCTGCCATCATCAGGGAAAGGTGAAAATCAGAAAGAAAAAAAAAAAGGCGGGCCAGGCCTATATGACAAGAGTAAAGAGTGACAGAGGCAGCCCGCCCATCTATCTGTACTGGCATCTGTGAAGTGAAGAAAGATCTCAGCATATTGGGTAGTTCTTGAGAGAACATGAACTAGAATTAGAATTGCAGAGGAGGAGAAGGCTTAGATAGGTTGTGATCTGCATTGTGGGAGGAAATGCAGGTCTCATGGAGATCATATCGAAGAATACTGACCTTCTTCATTTATTTATCTCACCTACCTCTCATCCCACACAAGTGGCTTACAGCCTTCTATCCAGCAGGAATGCTAGGTTGTACAGTGGAAGAGCCAATACAAAAGTTTTTAATGCTCAGCCTGGTTACCTCACAAATGATTGAAGGTAAAATATGGTGGCCTTAGTTAGTGTCAGAAGAGGTGTGGGAAGAGGTGCGAATTGATCTAACAATTTTGGAAGGCAACATGAAATTATGATATAAAAGTAATTTAAATTGTCCATGTTCTTTAATCCGGAGATCCCACTGATGGTCATCATCCTCAGGAAGGTCACAGTTCCAAAGAAAGACCCAGTACACACAAAAATGTTTGGGGCAGTGGCTTTCATGGTTGCAAAGAATTGGAAATCAAGCTCCTTAAGGATGGACATTGTTTAATTCTTTGTTTTTGTATGCCCAGGGCCCTGCACAGTACATGACATATAATAGATACTTATTAAGTGATTATTGATTGATAAATGCCCATTGATTATGTTATGACTAAACAAAATTTTGGTTCATTAGCCCTTGAGGACCACACCTAGGCCTGTGAATTGAAGCAAAATCAGGAGAAAAATATACACATGACTACAATAATGTAAATGGAAAGAATAACCACAGTAATTGAAACAATACCATGTAATTATAATGGACAATGTTGGCAGTGAGAGGGAGATGTGAGTGTGCACCCCTTCTCCTCTTTGCAGAGGTAGAGGAATTACCGAAATTGAATACATGTATTCTCTCAGACTTGATTGATGCTTTGATTAGTTTTGCTGGACTACTTTTTTTCTTTATTTTTTCTTCTTTGTTATAAGGGATGGCTCTTTTGTTTGGAAGAGAGGGATATATTGGGAAATAAAGGTGATGTAAAAGGAGATATCAGTAAGAAAAAGGGAGGTCTGCTTAAGGTCACCTTAAGAAATAGCATTCCTTTTCTTTCATCTGAGAATTGGTATTTAGTGGCCACCCTCCCATCTTTAAGCTTAGTTCTGATTTAGTTAATAATATGAGTCCTCAAAGATGAACCTAGGAGTCCTGAACTGCACCCTGCAACTTTTGTCAGACCTTGTAATAATTTGTTTTCATGGGGAGCTCTTAGTTGGACTGATGGCAAGGTCCATTTTTTGTTTGTTTTGTTTTGTTTTTGTTTTTGCTAGGCAATGGGGGTAAGTGACTTGCCCAGGGTCACACAGCTAGTAAGTGTTATGTGTCTGAGGCCGGACTTGAACTCAGGTCCTCCTGACTCCAGGGCCAATGCTCTATCCACTGCGCCACCTAGCTGCCCCAAGGACCATTTTTTATTTAAACTCTTTCTTTTTCATCATCTACCATACTGCCTTCATACACAGGTGTTCAGTAAATTATTTTTGTGTCTATAAGGCTTTTTTTAATCTATATTTGTCCCCTTTGTATGGATAGTAGGTAGATTGCGGAACTCTTCATTCTTCAGCAGTTAGTCTTGTCTGTGGATGTGTACCATCAGCTCAAATTGGTTGTTTTGCCTATTGTTCAGCCAAGAATAGTTTATTTCCCCAAAAATAAGCAGAAGAATGGGGTAGGGAAAACAGATGGCAAAAATCAGGAGGCAACTTATATGTTGCCGAGGCAATTAACTTGGACTTTGCCAATTCTCTTTTTACAGAGGACGTCCTGGAGTCTTATGATAATCATCCACCTATCGTTCTGCCAAGTGGAGGGTTCAAGGTAGACTTGGAAGTAGAATGCCTGGATGATAATATCTACCGGCACCTTCTTTACATCCGCCACTTCTTATGGAGCCTACAGAGTAAATCCTCCCATGCCAGAG